TCGGCCAAGAAGCCTGAAATTGAAGACCCCATGGGTGCTCCTTTTATTTGTTCATAGCATTTTTGAGCGAACGAAAAATTCGTTTCCAAACATAGATCTAAGAGTTCATCTGCCCTGCTTGAATACTACATCTGCCCTCCCGGGTATCACGTCTTTATAAAGGAGCAGTTGACACCGAAACAGCTATAGATGGGCTTATTGGCAAGGGTGCCATTTTAGCTGTTTCCTCGGATCTCAGGGCAGATCAACGGGGAAAACTTTGTAAATCGAAAAGTTCTTCCAACCACCTAGCCAGCCTAGTTGGCTCAGTTTTCTTCATCCCAGCGTTGGGTCCTACGGAAACGGTGGTTATAGGGGAACTGGGGGTTGGGAAATAGGATAGGCGGTGGAATATACTTAAATAGCTGCTATATATTTTATTTTATTGTATTTAGGAAGGTTGTTGATTTATACCTGTAGAGTCCAAATTACCCTTCTGGAGTTAGATTAGGAGAGTCCGCGGCGCGAACAACTAGCTCCTAGCGTCCGCGGAAAAAAAAACTCAACTACATTTTTGCACTTTATACTCACTTCTATAAATTTCTTTTCACTGCCGATCCTATTTCCCCACCCCCAAAAGCCTATAACCACCGTTTCCGTAATAGAAAAAGGCTGTGACTAGGGGTATACGTGGCGCACTACTTAAATTACCTTTGCTCATAATGCTTATAACCAGTCAATCTGCAGTGGTTCTGTCTTGGTTTGACTTTTTTAGCACTCTTTTATATAGTATCTGCGATTTCCGTTAATGAAACCTGCCACAGGGGGACTTGAGAGGTTAGGACGTTCGTGTACGGCAAGCATAGTTGCTCTGTTTGCCTTTATTAGGCCCTGCATCTACTCCCAACCCCAATTTTGTCAACTCAGTCCTATCGCAAAAATATGATGGGCTCATTGGAATGGACTGTGGGTTACAGTAGGTTAAACGAAATTTGGAAATATTTTTACGATGCAAAATAGTTGCTTATGTAGGGTTACCTATTAAGTATCAAAAATTAGCAACCTATCGTCAATAAAATATCTTGTGAATATGCTGCCTGTTTATTACTTTTTCGACCGTATTCTTTTCGAATAAAAAAAACGTTTAAGAATTGAAGATAACATTTGATGAAATAAGGGCATAATTGTATAGCAAATCCCATCATATTTATCTTGTTTGCTTACTAACTAGGTGGCAACGTTACCTCATAAACAGTTACTTTACTAATTGGCAGTTGACACCGAAACCGCTATAGATGGGCTTCTCGCAAGGAGGCTATTTTGGCTGTTCCCTCAGATTTCAGGACAGACCAAATTGAAAAACCGTATGAATCGCGAATATTGCTCCAACGACTTTTTTGCGTTTCCGTTTATCTCAAGCTGATTTTTCTTCATCCCAGATGGCACCAACTTCCCAAAATGCGGGAAGCGAGAGATGCTCTGGCAGCTGTCGCTCTGTCTGATGGTCGTGTTTTCGTGTTCGGCGGTTGGAACGGCCATTCATCTCTTGCCTCCGTCGAATTCTGTCAACTTCGCGGCGACTGGTCCCACACTATTGCGACGGCCGCCAGGCCGGAGGAGGGGTTCTGGCGACCGCTGGAGCCAATGCGGACGCCTCGGTACTTTCACGCAGCGGTGGCCTTCAGGGGGAAGATCATTGTGGCCGGTGGTTACGCCTCAGCCAAAGACGACCAGGACGACGTTGGGCAAGCGGTCGTGGAGGTATTTTCCCCGCCAACTGCTGAACGCCCCCTCGGTGAGTGGACGCGGGTTGCGGATCTGCTGGTACCGCGAAAGGTCTTCACCCTCCTGGTGTACAAAGACAGGCTTTACGCTTTGGGTTAGCGAGCTTCTCCTTGCTGCTTATTTGACTTTATTATTATATTTTGGTACTTTATTTAATTCTGCTTTAGACATTGGATGTGACA